TATCTTAAGAAAAAATAGATTTTAAAAAAATTCATGCATGTAAGGTGGCCTTTTTCCGCTCAGAAGGCTGCCAGAGGGGCAGGCGCCCCACACTGCCTGGTGTCTTAGGATGAGGAAGGCCCGACGCTAAGAAGATGCAGCACGGAGGGCCCTTCCCCCAGCCAGGTTGCTCCTCCCGAAGAAGCCACTCACGGTCACTGGAGTCATAGGACAGGTACTCGGCCAAGAAGCCCGTGTCGGTGTAGGACTGGTCCGAATGGAAGCGCACCGTGATCCTGCTGCTCTTGCTGGCGACCACAAACTGGGACTTCTCTCCACAGAACCTGGGGGGGGAGGCCAACTGTAGGCAGAGGACCCCCCCAGGACATGGGCACCCCCCCACCTGGGCACCAGACCCGCTCCCGGACTCCCCGGCCAGTCCCCCCACTCACCGGCTTGCTCCTCCACTCCCCAGCCGACCCCTCTCCCCCAGGCACTCACTTCTCCCCGTTGACCTCCACATAGTCCTTGGGGCACGTGCCCGCGGGCACACTGGGCTCCCACAGGTAGAAGACTTTGAAGGACACCTTCACGTTTCGGTTGTGGGGCACCTGCAGAAAGGCAACCAACCAATGATTCTCTCTCATCATTTATGTTACTATTTCTCTCTCCCTCTCCCTTCCTCTTTCTGAAATTAATAAAAACATATTTTTTAAATAAAGGACTGGAAGGTCCTCCCATCATTATCGAGGGAGGAAAAGGGGACGGATCTGGGATCGGGAGGGCATGAGAAGCAGACCTGTGGGCGGGACTCTTATCCCAGGGCCATTCAGCAAGTGCGCTCAGCGGCACATGCCCACTCGGACCTCGTCGTCCCCACCGCACCTCTGGCTGGGAGCAGCCACCAGCCCTCTTACGTGACCCAGAGCAAGCTGCCCCCGCCCCTGCCCATGGCCCCCAGACAGCCATGGAGGAGCTGGGGCTTGAGTCTGGGTCTGCCTGACTTCGCAGCAGGTCAGCCCCGCACAACCCTGCCACGCACGACCCTGCCACCCACGACCCTGCCACCCGTGCGACTCACCCCTGCAGCCTTGTGGGGTGACCACAGAGCTCATCCCCTCTGCACTCCTCACGCGCCATCCGGAGCGTCCCTTCCTCCCTCTGCCTCTCTCTCTCTCATCCTTCTCCCTGACCCCTCCCTCGCCTCCCCCCACAGCTCCTACCTCAATCTGCCACGTGCAGTTGATGTTGGGAGGGTAGTGGCCCGGGTAGTAGGGGGTGCTAAATGTCCCGTGGGTGTCATGTAAGTAACCACCACAGCCTGAGAGGGAAGAGGAGAAAGAGCATGAGGACTGAGCACGGGCTGGGCCAGACGGAGGGGCAGGGCTGTCGGCTGCAGGCCTGGCAGGTGGGCACCGGGAGGCTGACGGCGTTGATGGGGCTCAGGACCCAGGGGAAGGGCTAATGGTCTATGGCTTAAGCTTCCAGCCTCTGTCACCGACCTGGCCAGCCCACCACTACCTGCTGTCCCCTTCTCCCTCTGCCCACCCCTGCCCCTGCCCCTGGCCCTCCTGCCCCTGCCCCTGGCCCTGCCCCTGTCCCTGGCCCTCCTGCCCCTGCCCCCACCCCTCCCCTTCTTACCGCTCATCTTGGGCAGCTGGAAGAACACGGCTTCAAAGCCAGGGTGTCGCCGCTCCGTGTTGGTTATCAGCGTGACGAGCAGGACATTCTGGGAGGAGATGAAGGTCAAGTTGTAGGAGGGGGGGTAGGTGCCACACAGCCTGTGGGGGCAAAGGAGGTAGGCGTTAGTGAGGGCAAACAGAAGCCACACAGAGGGGGCCCAAGGACCCCACCCCTAACCCTGGGCCTCTTCACAAAAGGCCCGCCCCACACATGACCTCAGTAAGGATTTAATGATAAGACGGTCCATCTGAAATAGCAAAACCTCAGAAACACTGACTGCCTAACATTGGAGGATTCGTTAAACTACAGGTTAACTAATAGCAATAACAGGAGTCGCAACACCATGAATTACTAACGCTCAGTGCTTTTATAGCCATTAACTCCTTCACAGCAACTGTGCACAGTAGAGACGATCAGCCCCATTTTACAGATAAGGACACTGAGGCATGGAGAGGCATAACGATTCCCCAGTCAGTCAGTGTCAGGGCTGAATTCAAGCCTGGGCAGCAGGCTCCGGAGCCCACACGGCCAAGGACCGTGTCCTGCGGCCTCTCAGCTACACCACGTCTGTCCCACCGGAAAACTCGGATCAGAGACAGAATTACTGATTTGCAAAGACCATCACAATCAAGGGTGGGGCAAACGTAGGTTTAAAATTGTGAGTACGTGAGACGCAGGCTTTATTCTTGTATTATTCATTAATTATTGTATTATTTTCCATACGGACAACTGTAAACCTACTTTTACCCTATCCTGTATACTTCATTTTTATTTATTTTTTATTTCCCCTTCGTTTTATTCTAAACTTCATTTTTTAAAAGCAGATATCAAAGCCACAGGTGCTGCATAGCCCTATATTTAAAGATAATCACAGACAGACACGCACACAGCAGAAAAGTCTGGAAGAACAGACATCACAAAATCAGCAGTGATTGTTTCTGGAAAGTAAGATTATGAATGATGCAGGTCCCCCTTACGCATGCCTGTTTTCCACTCCTGCCTCCCAGGAGATGTGTTTATTTGTAGTACAGCTAGTAAAGTAGTAGGGAGAGAACCCTGCACCCAAAATTTGTGCAGGGGGGCGGGGCATCAGCCCAGCCTGCACCCTCTCGAAATCTGGGACCACTGGCTCCTAACCGCTCACCTGCCTGCCTGCCTGATTGCCTCTAACCCCTCTGCCTTGCCTGCCTGATCGCTCCTACCTGCCCTTCCCTGCCAGCCTGATCACCCCTAACTGCTCCCCCCCTGCCGGCCTGATTGCCCCTAACTGCTCCCCCCCCCCGCCAGCTTGATCACCTTTAACTGCCCTCCCCTGCTGGCCTGATCACTCCTACATGCTTCTGCCTTGGCCCCCGCCACCGTGGCTTTGTCCGGAAGGCAGGCAGACAACCAGAAGATGTCCGGTCGACCCAGTCTAATTAGCATATGATCCTGTTATTAGTATAGATATTTTTATTGATTTTGGAGAGGAAGGCAGAGGGAGAGAGAGATAGAAACATCAATGAGAGAGAGAATCACTCATCAGCCGCCTCCTGCACTCCCCCTCCCTGAGGATTGATCCCGCAACTAGGGCATGTGCCCTGACTGGGAATCAAACCTCGATCTCCTGGTTCATAGGCCGACACCAGCCAAGCAACAAACTATCTTTTCAATGGCAGCCTCTCCCGACCTATATGACTCCACAAAGCCACGTTTTACCACCGCAGGGCACAGCATGGCTCTGCGGTAAAGGACATCTGGCTTACTGGTGTCCAGGGAACCCATCGCCCTCCTCACCGCGCCCAAGGCAGAGACGTCCCCTCCGCCATGCTCCGCTGAGCTCATGCTGAGGTCGGCGCCACACCTGCCCTCTGCTGCCTGTCAGTCTGCAGTGGCTGGTGACACACACTGTCTCCAACTTGGTCCAGAGGCCCCGCCCACCAGAGGCAGCAGCCCAGCTCCCACAGCCCACCTCTGTCCCCCCCCCCGGACACTTACTGCGCCACCGTGCGGGGTTCCACGGGGCTCAGGGTGTCATACACCACGACCAGGTCATTGCTATTGGGGTCACAGGGCGTGACATCAAAGCTTCGGAAGGTGAGGCTCAGCACGGAGTGGGCATCACCCCGCAGGGTCCACTGGCAGCGGGCGAAGGCTGGGTAGGGGCTGTCGGGAAAGCCGGGCGTGGTGAAGCGAGTCTGTTCTCCCCATCGGGCGTGCAGGGCGAATTTGCATCTGTCTGTGGGAAACAGAGGAGAGGCAGAGCCGGGCAGAGCCGGGCGGAGGCAGTGGGGCCAGCAGCCCCGAACCCCGCAGGGGTACCCCCAGGGCTGGCCTCTCCAAGGCGCCCCAGGTTGCCAGGGGCCCAGATGAGACCAGGAAGCAGCATCTCATGGCCTGGGGACAGGCGAAGGGATGTGCTGGCTGTCACCAAGGTGTGACTTGTGGGCACACCTGGATCAAAGGGCGTCTGGCCACATCCCAACCCGCCACAGGGAGGAGGGCGTGGTACTTACTGTCCTGGGCGGTCTGCACTGTTCTGGGGTCAGTGGCTGAAAAACAAGAGGGAGAATCGAGGTTTTACTGATCTGGCCTATTTCCTCGTTCCTGCTTCCTTATTCCCCAGGGAAGGAGCCAGCGGCTCACTATCTTATCTTCCTGCGGAGGAGAGGGAGTTCCTGGCCGCCGATGCCCACCCCCGGCAGCCCGAAGGCCCGCACTCACGGAAGG